TATTTATATGAATAAGATCATTATATAAAATTTCACTATCTCGTAAAAAAATAAATAAATATATTATCAGTTTATAATGAAATTCCATCTTCGTGTATAATAAAACACAGCAAATGCAAGGAAAAATTGTTGTCCACGACTCTAACTCCTATCCTTCGCTAATTTCATCGAGTATATTTCACAGTTGTATACCACCACGTTGGGGTTGCGGCCACATCGTGTCTCGCCTGGAAAGTTATGTCGCCCTGTTGGATGGGTGACGCTCGCACATGAACTCGCCAGCAACCCCTGCACGTCGTTTGCCGAACCGTTAGTACGCGTCAACGCGAGTTACGAGCGTGCATGCGTGTGCACCACGCGTGTAACGAACGTGTGTCCCTTCGCTAAGTCGGGGATTAACGCGTGTTGCTTCTTTTCGACGGAACAGTCGGTAGCTGAGAAGAGGGATGAGGAGGAAAACTGATGAGGAATTTCGAAGAACGGCGGCTGTTGTGGAAATACCGCCGAGGTTTGTGCACTGTGTACGTATATTTATATGCAAAATAAAATATGCGTTTTCATTTAGAACTAAAGTGTATTTACATTTTTTTTTAGGTATATCGTTTTATGGAAGGATTTTTATATCTAAGATATAGTATTGATATATAGATATAGTTGAGATATAGTATTAATTTTAAGTAATAATAATTAATAAATAATTGTAATATATAGTAATAATAATTATCATAAAAATGATAAGTGAACAAAATTGCAGAATAGATAATAACGAATTATCTATATAGAATTGTAATGGTGTAAATTAATCTTTTACTATTTTTATTTTATTATATTAACATACATTATTTATTATTATAGGAAAATCAATATATTTTAATAAGATCTCTATAAATCTGTGAATAATACCTTAAGAGATTCAATAAATTAAAATTCTTAACATTTTCATTTAATTATTAAAATCATTATTTATATAGAAAATACTATAGAAAATATTACAATGGAAAAATGTATCTTTGAAAAATGTTGAGAAACAATACTCTATACAATATAAATCATATACTTTATACAATAACAAAAAAAAGATACATAGTTCTTTCGTCAAAAGATAGTGATTTTTTCCAGCTTCCACGTCGGCGTAGGACAAAGCGAGTCGCAATTCAAACGAACGAACGGTCCACGATTTACTCGCGACGCAGACCGTTTCCGTTAAAGTATTCATGAGTAGTAAGTGACTGGGCAAACGTTAGCCGTTTCAAATGTTCGATGCGGCCACGAAAGTCTCCGAGCTATAGGATGGAAAAAGGGTCTTCGAGTAGGTGCAACGACTTGGAAGGAGCGGGGTGTGACAAGTGCGGCGAGCGACGAAACACGTGAGAAAAGAGTGGGGATGAAAGTGATCGGTGTGCGCACGGTATGAAAATGCATAGTGGGAGAAAGAAAGAAAGATGCTCACGGCGTTGAGAGGGGGAACGTGTGCGGACGCGCCAATTACCAACTCGGCCGAAGACGGCCATTAAGAGAGTCGGCAAACAAACGACTTTCCCTTTTTGTCGTTCTCGATCGGACTAACGATCATCGGTATACACCTTCGCGTGATTTCAGCCAACACGAGGGACGAAGATCGACT